GGCAAATTATAACACTGCAGAAGCATTGTTCACATCCTGACTTTGCATCTGAGTCAAGCATAAATCCTATAGCTTCATTGTCAGTTTTTTTTTCATAATGCAGAATGACACATAACATCGACAAGCAATGGGTGCTTTATCTTTTGTGGGATTGAACGAATGCTTGTGTTAGTTTCATAATACCAGTCTGCTATGCTTACCTGCTAATTTCACTCTGATGGAACCGTTGTTGCCTTTAGCGACAGTTGGCTGAAGTTCGGTGAGGACGTCTTCGAGATCACGCCGGGCGCCACCCTCGCAATCGTGCACACGAACGGAGCTATTCAGCCTGAGGAAAAATAGACATGCCAGCGTTAGGAATATCCACGGCACCAAAATCCAGTACCAGCATAATATCACACCTGTCTTGAGAAGTTCACTCCTCAAACATCTACGTGTCGGACGAATCTGTTATTTCGACTGACGCATTTCGTTTGTTAAATGATGCGGCAACCTTTTTCTACAATAAATAGATCCCGTATAAAAGTATCCCGACCAACACAGCATACACCAGCATTATAGCGTGCTATCTTACCTTTGCTGATGCGCTCGAACGGCGCGTTTTCTTGGGAGAAATGGAGTGAGGGCAGCTATTCGGCTGTATTTCCGCAGGGAGATGTTATTCTCATCCAGAACAGCTGTGACACGACGTACATCGGCGGTTTCGGTGGTTGGCGGGGGCGTGTGCTGGGGCGCCAGCTGGAGTCCATAGGCTGCCGCAGTAGCAGCAAGCTGGGCCTTGATTCGGCGCTGATGTCGTCTGATATACGTTTCCAATGGGCGGCGTTGCTCCTTGCGCCTCTCCCTCAGCTGCGCTCTGTACAAGTCCAAACGCAGCTGGGCATTCTCGGATCGGAGCCGCCTGCACTCGGCTTGTGATTGACTAAGTAGTTCATCACTTGCCCTTTTGACACGCTCACTGTTTGGTGACTCCCCGCAAGAGGTTAACCTCTCATCACCATTTTGGTTGTCATGTCTGATTGCCCCACTGCCACTAGCATGCCCAGATTCACCACTGCCAAATCCATGCCCATCACTCTCATGTCCGGCTGACGCACCATTGCCACTACCATGTCCAGCTGATGCACCATTCACCACATCAAAACAATCTACAATGGTATTATCTACACAGGATTTTACTACACTGGACAATTTTATAGACACAATTTATTTCTCTGCCTTAGTCAAAAACTTTGCACATGGGTGACCACCTTTCCTTTTAGCAGTATTATATCTACAACTTATGTAACATATTTGTTTCTTGAAGGTTTGAAGCTCACGTCCTACCAAAGAAATGAAACCATAATTTTTGACAGCATCTATCTCAACAAGTTTTTGATACACCACAGTATGATTAAAGTTACACTCAATACACAGCTCAATTAGGCTTCTCTTCACCACATCCAAAGAACGTTTCTGGGCTGACACCATACATTATCAATCATACACTCATGCTAATAAAAGCAATGTAAACACCTCTACATATATGTACACAACCAAGCAAGTGCATATATATACACAGCCAAGAATGAGATCCAAAAACAATCATTGGACAACAGTAAAAAGTGTACTGCGTATAATATACACTAAACAGCAGCCCTGTTGATCTGCAACCAACATCAGCTCATCCTCAGCCCACGTCCTCAGCTTTAGTCAGGCTGACCTGCTGGCTGCCTCTCCCTCCACATGGTCACTACCAGTTCGTAGCCATGGCCCTGTTCATGAAGTCTGCGGTCGCTGCGGCCGGCCGCAGGTTCTAAGCCCCGCCCATTTTTGAAACGTCATCACTCACTCAGCCGCAGCAGCGTTCCATGAACAGCGCCTGCTGCCGAAATAGTTTCCAACAATTGTTTATAACTGACGCACACCGCTAGATAATTTGTTTACAAAATCGTCTCCATGACAACACGGCTTGCGCCTATTTGACTTCAGTGCGCCAAGTTCAGTGCAATTAATTTTCTTGCGGCTCGGCGGTCGCTGGATTGCGGCCGCAGAGATCGCAGCGGCCGCAGCAAGGTGACGTCATACATTTATCATACTACATGAGCCCCGCCCCTTTTCGTGACGTAACAACCCGGCTGACCGCAGCGACCGCAGCGGCCGCAGCGACCGCCGGGGTTCATGAACAGGGCCCATGATGCCTGTCTTTGGCCACAATGGCACCACCTACTGGCATGTAGTGCTTGTCCTTGCGGACTTTTGCCACTGCAGTGGTGCATTTTCCAGGGTTCACCTTGTTAATGTCCCCTTGGTCGTTCACATATCTTGTGCCAGTCTGGCCTGTAGGTGTCACTGCACCTGAGGATGCCATCAAGGTTGATCCGTTTGAAGAAGTGTAGGTCTTCGTGCAAGATTGGAATCCGAATCTTGCACTTAGAAATTGCCGCAAGGGGAACCAGAGAGCTTTGAAAATTTTTGTATTTAATGACTCAGCCACAAGAACTATCGATGACTTGAATACTGTCTTCTTTGGAGGTCCGTAAAACTTTTCAGTACCTCACGACGTCCTCACCCCTCGTCGGTGCTCACTAGGGTGTCCCAAATTTCACGAAGTTTTCCAATTCACTTAGGATACACCGGGATCCCGTTCCCTGGTTCATTTGAACCTCACACACCAATTTATAGAGTAAACTACCGGTAAACAAGGTTGCCGCTAGTGCTCTGAAGTTTTATTTGCATTTTGGTGTTATATGATAGTGCAGCGTTGTAGTCTCCGAATGCAAAATGGGAAATATGTGTAAGCAACGTAGCAATATTACCTTCTTCGATGCTCAGTGATGCTCAGATCCCACGCACATTGCACAATGATGAAAATCCGGGTTTATGTACGCATGCATACGTGTGAAACTGTGTGTGTGCGTGCCCCTATATGCCTCTGTGCGTGTGTGTATATGTGTGTGTGCGCGCGCGCGCACGACTGCGTGCGTGCCTGCCGGATAGAAGGCAATGCCAGTTTTAATCTTGGTGTGGGTGATTTCATGTGCCGCTGATTTCGTTTAGGAGTAAGTGATCAAATAAAGGTCTCAGGTTAGTGCTTCAAATGTCTCGCTTCAGATCGAACCGTCTGCGGCAATGGCACACCACATAAACGCAGATTGGACAGAATCAAATTTACATTGCAGCTATGGGTATTAAGTTCACCGCACCCTGTCCTGAGACCGCCCACGCGTAACATCACCGTACCCTGCTCCGAGATCCGTCTAAACAAACATCATGCCTTGCTCTGAAAACCGTCTGAAACATCGTACCCTATTCTGAGCTGCGTCTAAAACATCGTACCCCATTCTGAGATCCGTCTTAAACATCGTACACTGCTCTGAGGTCCATTTACACTCTACAGTCTACACGTAACGTCATCGCACCCTGTTTAATATCTGTCTACCACTACAGACCCATGTAACGTCCTTCTTCGTGTGACCGTAAAGCGACCTGTGCCATGCCACCACCTGGGCCAGCGCCTGCAGCTGGTCCTCATCTTTCGTTCTGTCCATCATCTCCTGTGCCAGCTTCGCTCCGCGATCCGCTCCATCATTCACAACTGCCAGGCTGTTGACGTATTTGTGAACTGCGTTGTAACCTGAGATACTTTTCCATTTTTGACAGGCTTTTGCAACCATTTGAGGGATTATGGATGGGTGCCTATGATTCTCATAGCCGGGTGCCCGGTGCAACCATTCGAGGGCGCACTCATCCAGATTCTGGATGAGTGCGCCCTCGAATGGTTGCAAGAGCCTGTCAAAAAATGCAAAAGTATCTCAGGTTACAACGCAGTTCACAAATACGTCAACAGCCTGGCAGTTGTGAATGATGGAGCGGATCGCGGAGTGAAGCTGGCACAGGAGATGATGGACAGAACGAAAGATGAGGACCAGCTGCAGGCGCTGGCCCAGGTGGTGGCATGGCACAGGTCGCTTTACGGTCACACGAAGAAGGACGTTACATGGGTCTGTAGTGGTAGACAGATATTAAACAGGGTGCGATGACGTTATGTGTAGACTGTAGAGTGTAGATGGGCCTTAGAACAGTGTAGGATGTTTTAGACGGACCTCAGAGCAGTGTACGATGTTTAAGACGGATCTCAGAATAGGATACGATGTTTTAGACGAATCTCAGAGCAGGGTACGATATTTTAGACGGATCTCATAGCCGGGCACGACGCTGTTGACGGATCTCAGAGCAGTGTATGATGTTTAAGACGGATCTCAGAATGGGGTACGATGTTTTAGACGCAGCTCAGAATAGGGTACGATGTTTCAGACGGTTTTAAGAGCAAGGCATGATGTTTGTTTAGACGGATCTCAGAGCAGGGTACGGTGATGTTACTACGCGTGGACGGTCTCAGGACAGGGTACGGTGAACTTTATACCCATAGCTGCAATGTAAATTTGATTCTGTTCAATCTGCGTTTATGTGGTGTGCCATTGCCGCAGACGGTTCGATCTGAAGCGAGACATTTGAAGCACTAACCTAAGACCTTTATTTGATCGCTTACTCCTAAACGAAATCAGCGGCACATGAAATCACCCACACCAAGATTAAAACTGGCATTGCCTTCTATCCGGCAGGCACGCACGCAGTCGTGCGCGCGCGCGCACACACACACACACATATACACACACGCAGAGGCATACGGGCACGCACACACAGTTTCACACGTATGTATGCGTACATAAACCCGGATTTTCATCATTGTGCAATGTGCGTGGGATCTGAGCATCACTGAGCATCGAAGAAGGTAATATTGCTACGTTGCTTACACATATTTCCCATTTTGCATTCGGAGACTACAACGCTGCACTATCATATAACACCAAAATGCAAATAAAACTTCAGAGCACTAGCGGCAACCTTGTTTACCGGTAGTTTACTCTATAAATTGGTGTGTGAGGTTCAAATGAACCAAGGAACGGGATCCCGGTGTATCCTAAGTGAATTGGAAAACTTCGTGAAATTTGGGACACCCTAGTGCTCACCCTACGATCGCCCCGCACCGACTGTGCCGACGACCGAGGTGGTGCTTTCGCGGCTATCGAATGGAGGATATCGAGTGCAGTGCTTTTGCGGACAATGAGTGTTTTCACGCACATCGCGAGAACAGTGACAGGAAGATGCGTCTCGTGACAGACCAGGACTGAATGTGAGGATTATGGTGAGGCAGAGGGACCCGGACATTGGACGAGCAGTCGATATGCCGCGGGCGCGGCCGTCGGCAAGAGAATCGATATCGTCAAAAAGTGAAAGCGACCACAAAAAGGACACATGTGCATTGTGAAGCCTTTCTTCGGTTTAGAGCACACTCACACACACGCGCGCACCGGAACTGTTGCTGAGAATGCAATGCCTTCCGGAGATGACCAGGTATTGACGTTATACCTACTGAGGTAGCGTGGTTACAGGTTAAGGACTATACATATAGGTGTTTAAGGCAAATGAAATTGACACGTTACGATAGCATGCCATTTATGTAAATATAAGTAGAATAAGTGCGGCGCGGTGATCGTGGTGACAGTAACTATTTTATATAGTGTGAAACGCGTAGTTATAGGCGGTGCGGTACTTGTGGTGATGGTGCCTTGACATAGATTATCTATTGTTTGAAAACGGAACCTTAGTTGCGGTGATGGTATTTAGATAATATTCGGGGTAGGATTGAGATAGCCCTCCGGCGGGGCATATTGTATTTTTGTGGTGAGTCCCATCATGTGTCTGTATCCATTGTTCACTTATCTCGTTGGCATTGACCCGTAGAGTACATGTGTTAATGGAAGAATGGGGGGTAGGTGACATTACCCCACAACCAGTATGGACGGATAGTATGAGCAGCAGACATTTCGGACGGTGCACACATTGTTGCTTGAATCACGAGTGACTATGAACTTTTCCCCTCCTTCAGCATGGACGGCCCACAGACAACGACTCCCGACGTTGACGGGATGGCCCCGGCGTCGTCCTGACCGACGCCGCCGCCGACTCCGCCCCCTACATCACCCGACCATGACGGGGACTCGGAGGCGGGGTCGGAGACGGTTTACGAGCTGTCCCCGACCCAGCCCGTGTGGGACCTCTCCCAGCCGGTCGGAGAGGTGGTGCGGTGCGCCTCCCCATGGTCGGACGAGTCGGAGGACTGGGAGACAGAAGCGGAGGAGGAGGAGTTTCGGGCATTTTTGCTCTCCCTCTTCGAGGAGGACGAGACCGCCATTACAACTCCTCCGAATCCGCTTGTTAACTGACACTATGACGACCAATCAAAGCCTCCGACGTGGACGAGATGGCTCGGGCGTCGTCCCGACCGACGCCGCCGCCGCCGCCGACGCCGACACGACTTCCGATGATGACGGGGACTCGGAGGCAGACTCTGAGACGGCCTATGAGCTGTCCCCGACTCAGACCGTCTGGGACCGCAGCGAGCCGGTCGGGCAGGTGGTGCGGTGCGCGTCGCCCTGGTCGGACATGACCGACTGGGACGATGAGGTCGAGGAAGAAGTGTTTCCGTGCGTGTAGTCCGAGGCACTTGGCTCCCCAGCTGGGGAGACGCCATCCCCACGAGAAAGGGGCCTCGATGATGGCCCTCACCCGGGATACGCTGCTACGGCTGGAGCTGGCGGAAGACGACCGCTGCCCTGCCTGCTCCGAGCCCGATAGCGTCGAGCACCTGCTAACGGAGTGTCCCGCATACTCCCGCACCCGAGGCCGGCTCTGGGGTTTCACAACAACACTCCGGGAAATCTTCCAGGAGCCGGCAACCAAGATCACGGAGTTTCTCCGAGGAGTGGGGCGCGCCGACCCCCCCCCCCCGTCGACGTGCTCCCGCGGCGGGCTCCCTAGGGGGCCCACGCGTGGCGTGCAAGAAGAGAGAGAGAAGAAGTGTTCCGGCGGTTTTTGTCACCGCCGAACCCACCTCCTCCGCCACCGTTCGCAAAACAAACTGGATATGCCCCCATTCGAAGCCAATGCAAGATCGCTAAGATTGAATGCAGTTCGCCGAAATTGAATGAAAAAATGCCGATTTGAGGTGCAAAAAGGTGTATATAGAAAAGTCGTCATGCCGTATGTGCGGAAAGCTTGTGATAGAAAGTACACACGTGCACAAACAGACTCATGCATACAATGCTCCGTACAGAAAGTTCGTCCTTTTTATTATACCGGCCAAATGTGTGCCGTGCTACGTTTTCGTAGATACCAATAACATTGTAGGCCAAACGGCTACAATCCTACTGTACGCCACTCGTCCTATGTACATTAATGTCATCACCAGCACTGACATAACCACCAGCACCCAACTCCCAATGACGCATTTGCTCGAGCTCTGCTGCAGTGATCGCTGACCTCACCTGAAGCTGCTCTGGCGCGGTGACCGTCTCCGGGCCGTCTTTCCGGGCCGTCTTTCCGGCCGTCTCCGGACCGACTCTGTCCCCGAGTCGATGGTGGCGCCGCTGCCACCCATCTACCGATCGACGCCACTCGCCCAGGTGGTGCTGCTGAGCTGACTATGGCGCAGGAGGGGACTGGTCAGAGGTGAGAGAAGGCTGCTATGAAGTGGTGAAATTAGCTACTGCACTATAACATCGAGCGCTCGTGAAGAGTTGGTTGTGCTCTTGGATAAACTCAGGTGATGGAATATGATCAACAAGATGACAATTCAAACGGCAGATGTTATGTGCTCTTCTTTCACATTGCCAATTCTTAAATGATCGTTTTTTACACCGAAGTTTTAAATATGTTATCGTTGCTGTTCTAAATAGCGGCTTACTCTGATTTCTCTTCCATATCTGACCTTCTATCTGTTTTGTTCTCAGGGATTATGCCGGCTCGCCGTCGATATTCTTGTGCTGATGACGTCACTTGTCGCCCTGCAGTGCTACCAAAACAGCATCCGATGATGTAAGTGCACTGCATTATCTGAGGAATGATCAGCTCCGTGGTTAGTCCGCCAACTGGAATTTTTCTGAAAGAGTATGTATATCGTCGATCAAAAGGTATGCTTAGTAAGGGTTCCTTTGGATAATTATTTCCGAGTTTTGATCAGTACAGAGGCAATGCCGCTGCGCCACAAACGAGAATTATTGTTAAGTCAGTTTATACCGTAATGGGAAACTGCAAACCGTCAGAACGTCGTCTTAGAAAAACTTCCTATTCATTCTGGTATAATTTAACTCAAGGGCTGCTTACGCTGCATCTGTGTGCTGTATGCTTACATGAACTTTTTCTGCTCACAGGTCTCCATGATCCCTGTTCTTCTGGGGGCATCTGGTATGCGCAGCGCTCAACCGGAAGACCACCCGCATCTCGGAAAGACGCCTACTGCTGGTCAGGGCCCATTGGGATGCGTCGTCGGTCGCTTGGATAAATTTTTCCAACTTGTGTGTCCACTGTCCAATGTCCATGGATAATTGACATGATATTCTTCGGCCCGACATGATATTCTTCGGCGTGTTTGAAGAGTACGGCGGAACAAATGCCTGTCGCACTACCTACTTGCCTTGTCCTGGCACATAGCCATTTCGCGTTTTCTTGTATGCAACTGATCAGGGTGGTGAGTTTACCAGATGTTTGTTATGGTAAATGCAGGAGAACCTGTGATGCGCTGAGACCCTAACCTAAACGAGTGGCGAATATAAAACGCAGCCAGATCATATCATCGTTTGACGTATGGTGCTGGATCTTGTGTGTAATATTGTTTATGATTTGAGAACAACAATAGAATATGCAACGGAAATGACCGCATAGTCTTATCATTTGTCGTCGCACTGCGAGCTGATGAAATGAATCGTCACGGCTAGTGGGTGTCCCGTTTTGGGCCGAACTGGATAGAGCGCCACTAAGACGAATGCACTTCAAACCTACATACGCACTATTACCAGACGGGCGTCGGGCATGTCACCAGTAATGGCGATATGTAACAGATATAGAGATAATACTGATTTGCTCAGCTGTCTGGCGTTTTTACACCATTATACACTCTCCCTCCCGTCTCGCCGAGCCATTGTCATGACGTGAGCTAATTACTGCTCGACGAATTTAATTATTTGTGGCGAGCTTTTTGGGCGGCTCCGCCTACCGTCCCGTCCCGTACAGTTCACGACCAGAGATGGAGGCAGTAATCTAACGCTCCCCCCCCCCCCCCTCCACGTCAGTAATCAACTGACAGCGTTGACCAGGCATATCGATGTCAAATAACTAGTTAGTGACGTCATGCCTCACCCCTCGAGTAGCAGGTTTCTAATTCGGCCACGTTATCAGAAAATATGTGGATTCGGACTGTAGTCGAACGGAATGTAACGCTCTGGATCGCTAGAACAATACAATCAAGCAGGTTCTTAGTGCACACAAGCGTAGGTATAGCTCTACAAAGGAAGACCGACGTTGGGCACGTACAAGATTACATCATTATTCACACTCTGGGTGTTGTTTTCTTTTGCAGCAGTTAATATCCTGATCGCTATGAAATGATAAGCCGTATTTTGATCAATGTTAATTAAATACGAGGATGCAACGACAAGCGTTGGTTTTATGGTCATTGCACGCAGTAGGCATATTGCACACCTTTATACAAACTTGTATACATAGATAACACTAACAATCACATCACATGCGCCGTGTCGTTCGTGTTCAACCGGCCAGCCGTCTCCTGTTTCCGCTTTTGTGGTCGTCTCTCTGGTCCGGTTGGCTGCTGGATGGCCGTCGTACAGCGGTCGCCGCCCCGTCGTCAGTCGGGCGGACCGGCAGACGCTGCAGTTCCAGCTCGTCACAGAGCCCGTCACGGGCCGTCACAAAGCGTCACAGAGCGTCACGGGCCGTCACGGGTGTCACACTGGACAGACAGGCGCTGGACGTTACGGCAGACGTCGTGGGAGTGAGGCGCGAGTGGTTTCTGGTGAGACATCTTATGCGTATGAGACAAGTGAGACATCGTGAATAGTGCGGCCATTTAGTGGACTTATAGGGGACCGTTTATTTGGAGCACAACTGAAGAGCAGGAGGCCGGAAAAGCTCGCTAACCAGCTCGGCTCTGAGGTGAGCATCGTCTCGTCGGTGGTGGCTTCGTGGGAATTCATGCTGTTCTCGGATGTGTGCTTTTATGTGATGACTACTTATACTCTTTTGAAATCTTTTTTTTGCACCCAAGTTTTATGGCACAATTAGGTACCTACTTCTTTAAAGGGAAATAATAACCTAGCTTTAGAGGAAGACCGATTTGCGTTCATAATAAAAAACTGGGTGATGAATTTGTTTGTAATGCGGTGCTACTTTATCTGGATCGGTTTTTATCGTTGTAAACCCCGCTACAATTGCAAAGGTTGGGATGATGACCGCATTTCCTGGACAGCGACCTGAAATAGTTAAACCCATATTTTGATTTATATAAACCAGTATAGCGCCTTTTGGGCGACTAACGGAGCGAGCGAGGGGGTGAGTCTTGCACGTGCGAAATTTCGAGGGGGTACCTCCAACTGAGTTGTGCACGGCACCCTACTGACCGGTTTCTAGCGATGTGCTAAATTTGAGCACAATCGGCCCAGCCGTTCTCGAGATCTGGGAGCGGCACCCTGCACGTGCGCACGTGCAATATGGGTCCCAACTGACTTGTGCACGGCACCCTACTAACTGGTCCCTAACCGTGTACCAAATTTGAGCGCCATCGGTCCAGCCGTTCTCGAGATCTGGAAACGACCCCTGCACGTGCGCACGTGCAGCAGCACCCCAACTCTGGCACATGGATATGCAGTGCCTAGTGGGTGCCTACCTACATGCCAACTTTCAGCGCAATCGGCCAGGTAGTTACCGAGATATTGCAACAATTACAAAACTGACACCTCTTCGTTTTGCACGTGGCACGTGCATAAGGGGTCACCCACATGCATCGGGAATAGTCCAATACTTGGTAGAAGGAATGAAGCTACCCTACAAAAATTACCGCGTGTAAATCGGTCAAGTGGTTGCTGAGATATAAGCCTCGCAAAAGCGTCCGCACGGCCGGCCGGCCGCTCATACTCAGAAATTTCCGTTAATCTAAGGAAAGACTCCGCTCGCTTCGCTCGCTCCGTAATTAAATGTAAGGGCCACATCGAAAATCTCGCGTGCATCAGCTCACGTCGCCACTCGGCGTCCCGTAATCGAAGCCGGCTGCGTCAGATTCCATTCAAGGACAGGTAGGCTGTCCCGCAACGCCGGTGTGCATTACGGCACAGCATGGTGTTAGTAGCTATAGTATATTTATCGGCATCAAAGTCACTCATCGCGATGGAAAGGCATATTCAAAGCGTTGACGGTAAGAAGAACAAGCTACATATCGGACTCAGACCGACGCACTCAGGGCCCGACCGATATGACCCTCGAAACAGAACAGCCCGCCCCTGTGAATGTGCTACGATTTATAGGTTGTACTGCAGCTCTGGCGCGTTCGGCCTGGACAAACACGATGCTGCATGTTGTGCATAATTTATTACGCATCTCGTATTGCACATGCCTCGCTTACTGCCAGTGAACTATCACTATCAGAACTATTACGATCAGTGAACTAAAGGAACGTTTGTAATATTCTGCGAACTGTCTTTGTTCGACATACCATTTTAACCATTTCACCGTTTGTTTCTATACGTTTATAAACAACTGATCAGGCCAGATGCATCGTACGAACACCCCCCCCCCCCTTGCCTTTTTCTGGGTTCCGTAGCGTAGCCCACCCAAACCACTCTACAAATCACTCGAGCGCTTCTGGCCTGAGAGTTTCTCCGTTAGAGATACCGTAGGGTAGTAAATGCTGGTCAGTTCTAGTCGGTCCACACATCGTAAATCTGGCATCTGTAAGTGTAGACGCTACCCACGGGGTATTGTGCGTGTTTATGTGCGTGTGTTTGTGTGTCGGTCAGTCATGGTTAACGGTCGAACGGTGAGGCAGCCGGACCGCTTCTCAGTGGTATTTAGGGTCCTAAATCGTAAATCCTGGCGCCGTATGGGATGCTGTCGTGATGAAATAAAAACGTAGGGTGAATAGGTCAAAAACGCCCCCCTTAAGCGCGAAACTTTCTGACACTCAACCCAACACAGATTACTTAAACATTTGGGCACCATCATGTAGCTCATTCTTTTTACTACGTTTTGAGACCAAGAAAAGACACCTGCGTGAGGTATTTAACCCCCCAAAAAGGTTTTCGCATACCCTTGCAAAAGGGCGTTTTGCCCCATACCCTGGGTAATACGCCCACACCCATGTGCAAAGCGCCCCCACCCCATCTATCAATAGAAAATGATGAACATGGCAGAACTTGACGTCATTCTGACGTCATTTGTGGTCAACCTATCATAGCCTTTGGAATAAAATTTTGTTGCAATGTGTAAAATGGATGCCCAGAGGAGTCCTGAAAGTTTGGTGACGATATCTGCAGTCGTTTAGGATATATCAGCAAAAAAGGACAGGGAGAGGCCTTTTCGGCCCCGACCTACAGGGCGCTACCCTGCACTCTCACCACCGTGCAAAACGCCCCCCTTTCACAAAACTGGGGGCGTCTTGCCCCATGCATCGAGTAGGCGTCTTGCCCCATCCACTCCATTTCCGGTCAACAAAATATTGACAAAAAACGCGCCACTAACGCCGCAGCATAATATATTCAACAGAATGACAATAAAACGCAGTTTTGAGTGATGTGCACAATAGCAAGTTTTGTGATATAAAGAGGGCATCAAAATATTAGGAATCTTCTGTAAAAACAACAAAAACAACACCCAAAACCAACATCAGCACCTACCCACGCTGCTCCTCAAGACTCTGAACCGGAAATAGAGACCTACGTAAACAAGCAGCTGACTGTTCTGAAAGACAGGATAAAACACCTATCCGTCGATAAGAAATACGATTTTTTTAGGGGAGGCGTTTAACCCAGGGGTGCGTTTTCCCCATAGTTACCCTACACGTCGCTTGTGTTCTCCATTAGAAACATAAGAGAGTCCTCTAGCAAATTAGACAGACGGATACGATTTCTAGTGATAATTTGTAGGAACTGATTTTATGCATGTTATTTGACTCAAATCTGGCATAGGTATTTGAGAGTTGCTCCAAGTTCATACGGTGTCCATCGAACATCATACCTAATCGCAATGAAAAGCTATTTCATCGCTTTGAAGATAAAACTTCGCCAATAATCATGCTATTTTAAGTTGACCGAAAAAGTTACCATAGAACGAACTCTGGGAATCTGATATGTAGAGATGTCTATTTTATAATGTCTCCGATAGGACCATCTAGATGTATAATAATTATGCCCATATATCATAATACCATTGACTGATCAACGCTATTTAACCCGCGCCCTGGTGGGGTCTGTTTATAACGCGACCTGGTGGGGGGGGGCTATTTTTTGCCCCCTCGTATCTCCGAAACTACTGGACGGATCCGCAAAATTCAAACGGCGTTCGATAGCCCTGTCAAATTTGTCGAAGGAAACCAAATTTTATTGACCTCGGGGTCACCGATGACGTCACAGGTCAGGTCAAAGATAAAATGTTTTACCGTTCACGGGGCTTCTAGGGAAAGCGCTATAACACCGAGTAAAACGCATTTTGTCGAAAATCAGCGATAAGACGTCAGTTGTCTAGTACATATGTTGCTATTAGAGGTCACTGGTCATACCAGGTCAGGTCACAGGTCAGGTCACCAAAGGTCACCAAGGGTCACCACATGAACCCAACTTTACTAAGGTTGTGCGATGCATGTTTTATGGCCAGTTTTTCATTTCCAACCCAATGGTGTTGGTTATAAGACCATCAGGTACGGTTTAGGTCACTTTCTGGTGGAGGTCAGGTCAAGGTCAGGTCAAAAAAGGTCAAATTTCAAAGTTGATATTTTTGCATAAAATGGGTATCGATTCGATGCAGCTCGTCACGGGGAGTCTAATGGTGGTCTTTGTTTTGCACTACGAGGTCTAGAATTGCTAAAAATTGAGTTTGAAAATTTGACGTCATCAATTTTGAACAGTTTTTTCACTATAACTTCGCCAAAAAAGAGGTATCAATCTAAAATTTGGTATGTAAATGGAAGGCGGTAAGGACTATCACATATATTCCGGTTTTTGCGAAATTCAAAAAACTTTTTGGATTTTTTTACTATTATATCCCAAAAAAACTATTTTTTGATTTTTAGGGGTCAAAATAAAAAAAAATCGAAAATCCGAGATACCAGTTTTGTAGCACTGTCAATTCTACAGCTTTTATGTCCTAAACATTTTTCTGTATTTGCAAAGCTATAGGCCTAACAGCTCTTCCCGCGAAACCCTTTTTTGGGTCGAAAACGGCAGAACATGACGTCACTCTGACGTCATTTCCGGCCAACCTATCATAGCTTTTGGAAAAAAATTTTGGTCACAATGCGTAAAATTGATGTCCGGGAGGGTACTGAAAGTTTGGTGACGATCGGCGCAGCGGTTCTGGAGATATATCGAAAAGTCTGGAGGGGGGGCAAAAAATAGCCCCCCCCCCACCAGGTCGCGGGTTAAAGGACTGACCGAAACCTGATTATATCTGATATAACTATTACTGCAGATATAAATTTTAGTGATATAAACCAAAGCAGCATGATTATACTGACCTTCGCCATGCCAGCAGATTCTTACGATGCAAGATCATCTCCCTCAATCAAAACCTGTGCTTCATGGTCCTTGAACATGGTCGACGGTAGGCTTTTTGCCCACGTTTTTGCCCAATGGCCACCCGCTATCCACACCTGTTACGGTGTAGGTGCTGAAATTCAGCCCCCACATCATCCGGCGTCTGACCACCTGTCTATCTGGAAGGGCGACAGACACCAGCTACTACGGGTTCTTATGTTCCTCCGGCCACAAGTCTGGCATATGGGCGGCCCCTCAGCCGCACGCGTCTTTGCGGAGATGCTCACGCTGCCTTTCAAAGTTGGCGCACGTATGCATAGCGATCAAGCACTTTTGATCAAAGGCAATACCTACCTGGCCACAGACTTATGAATGCAAGCTAATGAACTAAGCTAACTGGTGTGAGCACATCAACAGAGTGAATATAGCGATGTGATGAGGTAGCCGAAGAAGTCGAAACAACTCTTTCAAGAGACCTGCTGTCGACATGCCAATGTTTTGTACACTTCTGCTACCATCCCTCAGATAAAACTAACTTAACCTCTAGGTGTTTTTTTTCATTGCAGATGTGAATGGCTGTACGACATCTTCGCTTCTCGTCAGTTGTGCAGCCCCAAATTCAAAGTCGCCCATGCTGGTGGCTATTGAAACTAGCGGCCTTCTCGGCCTGTTCGGCCTGCTCGCTTGGCCGGCTGCATGGGCTGACGAAACTCCCATTTCGAAGGATATAGCAAGATCGTCTTCCTCTGACGACTGGGCCAAGGATCTCCTCAAATATGATTTTGAAAATCGTATATGGGGCTCATCATTTTCAAATGAAGAGAGTCTCACAAAAGCCAAAAAGATTGATGATAGCTCACATGCGACAGACAAAGCCAAGATACGAAAAACCAGCATGAAGATTGATGCGCATGAGCATGCGCTTACCAACAGGATTGGAAACCATGATCAGATACCAGTGGAATATTCCAAAAAAGTAAACGATTACTTTCTAAATACACAGTGGACGTACGGGACGGCGGTAGGACTAAGTACAGAGCAAGCAGGCCAACACGTCTTGAGACCAGTAATCAACTTACGAAATATTGCTCCTATTCCGGATCCTGACTACGAAGCTGGCCTACTATACGAATCAGGCTACAAAGAACCTTCCCCAAACAATTATATTTACCCCGTAAAGAGTAGGACGAAGAACACAACACTGCTCACCTGGGAGCCAGGCCCGTCCCAAGCCGATAAAGACCAGGGCTCAATCACTTACATCGATAAAAGGCCACTTACGGTTTCCAGTCATCCAAACAAATATAAAGAACATCAAGGACTTGGAAAAGACCACGAGACAAACCAGCTTAACGATGACTACGATGCACAAGAAATAAGGAATATTTTGCCGCCAAAGAAACCGAAACCTTTTCTAAGTTTTGGCAATCTGCATCACAAGCAAAGATTCCCGCATGAAAAGTTTCGACCAGGTCCTCCGAAAACTAACCACAAAAAGAACGTGTGGCGACCAAAGCCCAAGAAGCCACTGAGGCCACCTTTCCAACCCGGGAAGAAACGCCACCCGCGTCCTCCAGCAAGACCACGCAAACCGTTTCACCCGACGCGTAAACACATTCAGAAACAGCACGCAGACAGCTCCAACGTGGTTATTCACTTCCACGAAACCAAGAAACCGCACCGGTACCACCGTCCTCCCGCGTACGGCGGCTGGGGTGCGCTGGGCCTGTCGACGCGCCTCACACCGATGGCTGTGGTCTGCGGCGTGCTTCTGGCGGGAACTCTGGCCGTGCTGGGGTACCTCATCTGGCTTACACCACCGACCATCGTCACCTACAGTAAGCGGCAGCGCGATGACGCCGGCGCCGACCTGCTGGCAGCGCCGTTTGAGCTCCGTCAGCTCATCGAGCTGGCCGCTCAGCTCAGCCAGGCGCTGGCGGAGGCTGAGCTGGTGACGCTGAAGCTGAGCGCAGCTGGCGAGAGTCAGAGAGAGCGCTGGCGCAGCTGTCAGCCGCTGCAGCTGTGCCGTGCACTGGTCGAGGGCGACCTCCTCCACAACCAGCCCGTCTGGAGCAGGTGGGTGCCGTCCAGAGAAACTTAAGAGGGCGTACGACTTTATCTGATAGTTGTTCAATTGAGCTTTTTGGGACGAGCTAGTGACGACCAATCGACTGTAGGTATGTATATCAGCCAAAGTTAAGAAACTATCTGGTATGGCAAAACACCTGTCGAGGCATAAGTGCTATGCAATTAAAAGCAAATAAAATCAATTTCATGTGTTCTGTTTTATCCTCGCCGTACTATTTCAATCAGTGCACAATCAACAATTAGGGCAGATTGTTAGGTATAGAAGGCTTAGCCGATTGAACACTCGGTAATTCATTTAAACCATCACATCGTCTGACCCATGACCTCCTCCAGGTATATCCGGGCCGCGCCCTGGCTGTGGTTGTTCGGTTTGGACGATGCCACTGCAGCACGGCTACAGGAGCTGGCTCACCACCCTGATTTCCGGTCGTGCCAGCCGTTCTTCGAGTCATGCGACAGGTCTTAGACACGCAGAGCGGCGCGAGGAAAGAACAAATGGTGGCGTTTGCTGATCTTAGCAAGTGATGTGGTTTTCTTCAGACACGTGTAATCAAGAGAGTGGCATCAAAATAGCTCGACTAAGCAAGATAGTCGCAGGCTACGCCCAGCGTTTAATGAGATGGTGACGAGATGCCATGCAACTATGACAATGCTGCAAGTAAGGGAAAGCGCTAGATTAGGTGATTGAATCAGTCTACTTAGCAGCAGGGAAAGATGTGCGGCATACTGCGACGAACCAGTTTTGATAAAAAGCAATGATGGCTTTAGTTCAGTGAGCGAATGCTCGTGCATATGAATGAAAAACAGTACAAAATTTGTTTTTTAACGGACTATATCGACAGCTCGTGTCGGTACGTCAGTTCATGTTAACTCTGGCGACCGTAAAGCGCAACTATACCGTGACAGTTTAAATGCTGTGCTTGAATTGGCCGGAAACTGTGTCGTGGAGTGATAAATTAAATACCTAATGTTGCTATGTGTGCACAACCCGAACCGGATGCAGAATGTGCGAGAATAGGGGAACGCTTACCTCAGCCATGCGTCCGTATCAGATCATCTGATCTAATCTCGCCTCAAAGTTCGACGGCTTGACAGTTCACGTCTCAACAGCTGACACGACAATACCTCGCTGGCTAGATTACCTGGTATTGTGGACCTGCAACATCTTCGTTCCCCGCTCTGCGCACCCACAGTTTCCGAGGCATGGCGACTTGAAGTTCATTTTGAGGCAATGGCTGTGCATTCAGTGAGTATCGCCGTATATATTTTGTATACGCTGTTTTTAATCGGCTATAGCTTTACAAATAATACGACACTCGACAGAGGTCTTGAACTTGATTGCGCAATTCCGATTGTATCGAAATAAAAATGGCATGCAACGTTTAAAAGCTGCTAATAAATCCACGCGTTTCCTTTGATGAATTGCCGACATTTTATGCATAACCTGTAGGCATCAAAATAGCTCTACTACTTTGAACAATATTTGGTCTGCACAGCACTTATACAGGTTTCGCACCATTCGAATGCATTCGAAGACGTCTTATAGAAAACCCGCACGCAGATGGAAGACGTCCCCGATGTTCTTTTCAGGATGTGCGTAAAAACAAGTCACTAATTTTGCAAGACTGAACAGACATCTAAATATTCCATTCTCCAGATTTGATCATTATGGTATTCATATTTTCATCCCATATGTATGTGCATACTGTTACGCAATAAAGCGCACAAGTGAGCGATTCCATTTGCCAGTCGAGAGTCGTTCGTACACCTATAACAGCAAGCCGAATTCATTCACCATACCAAATCAACCGAAACATGTCGCGATACAGCCTGTCACACAGTTCACGCATTTCGTGTTCCGCCGTCCGCGTGACTGTGCTTCCCTGAATACACAGAACACCTACACACAAACAGGGCGTGTAGCGTGGAGGGAGGGTCACCCCCGCTCGCTCGTGGGCCCACCCTCCGCGCGGGCCGCTCTTTGGCTGTCAGTATGCGCGATCGCTGATCGTTAGGCGTCGGGCGCCGATCGGCGCTCACCATTGACTAACTTGTCCGGTGGCCAAGTTGGTCGCCGTCCGACGGCGCGCCGCCATTGATGTCGGCGCCGTTTTTCAATTCGCCCCGCGCGCGCTATGGACAGCGCGCTGACCGGCCGAATCGCCCGAGGGTGTATTGTGCGCGGCCCCGTGCGGCCCACCCGTCAATGGCCTGAGTCTTATCGCAGGGTGCGCTCAAAGCCGACCAGGTCAGTGTGGTCAACGAGTCATTCACTGTGAAGGCGCCGGCGAATTGTTCATGTAGGGGAGCGACTGGCTCGTCAGACGGCCGCATGTATTCAGAGCACCGACTCTGAATGGAAAAATCGAACGCCCGTCTACCGGTGAATACTGTTCCCGGTGCCGGTGACCAGAGCCGGCGATGGACAGCCTGACCCTTCGCAGTCACCCCGAGGCGTCAGGCTGGGTCACTGCTGGGACAGAAAGGCACACAAGAAACGACACATATGGGTGAGTACTCCGAGTGATAGCTTTGGCCGTCAACCAACTGTGGGCATTTGAAGCTTATTTTCGCTAAATGAGCCGGTGTCATAGGTATATTTATGAACCGGTTTGAATCAAAATGGCTACCCTCCCATGGCCAAGGACTGTTTTTGGCTTCGGAGACTTTTCTCAGCCTTCTTTCGTTTAGGAACTGATATATACCTAATATTTTTTTTTCCATTCCAAAAGTGACGGTATTTGGTGCCGGTGGGCGGTATGTAGTTTTCAGGAGAAGAAAAGTTGAGACTAAAAGAATCGCAAGTTCTTCACAACCGTTTCCCTGTCGTCTGTCCCACGCACATATTTGGAGATATAGCCCGATAAGTTAACAAATCGGACATTTTACGTCATTCTTCAGTCAGACATTTTAAAGTAAATATTATACCAATGGGCTAAGTACATATTGAAAAAAACTATGGTTAATGACACTCTTTGACCCGACCCGTGTGTTGACCCTGTGTCGACCCAGGTCGCGGCTTGCCGTGCGCGGCGCCCTGTGCAGTGTGCGGGGACAGGTCATACGGCCGACACTATGGCGCAATCTGCTGCGACGGCTGCTCCTGCTTCTTCAAACGCACCGTCCGCCGAAATGTCGCCTACGCCTGTGTCTGTGAGTTATCGGAACGGTAGACTGAATGTCACTGATGTCTCAGGTTCGCTTGCGCTTGATGCTGGGACATTGCTGTGCATTTAGCTATTGTCCGTCTTTAATGCTGATTGATTTGTCCGTTTTTAACGCGATTTCCAATTTCAAAGTGATACCCAATTGCAAACTTTTTATAATGCGTTCCCAACCAACGTCGTATCACTATGTTTCTTTTTTAACCCGCGCCCGGCTGGGGGTCCTGGATTTCCACGCCCTGCTGGGGGGTGTTTGAACACCCCCCCCCTTGTAACTCGGCTCGTGGGCCACGTAGCGATACGCGGAAGGCGGTGTTCGAAAGCGCGTCAAAAATAATGACGAAATCACCTCGGTCAATTTTTGGTCAGGTCAAAGGTCAGGACATCAGAGGTCATTGAAGGCAAAATTTCGCCGATTTCCAGGTCGAATGTCGAAAATTTCCAAGAAGCTAACGCATAACTCGGGAACCAATAGAGCTACAGCGCCGCGGAAAAGCGCATTCGATAGCCCTATTAACGCCCTTTCTGAGCAATTCCTCAGATTTGACCTAACGTCAACGGTTTTGCCTGCAGGGGGCAAAAACTGCAAAAATAGCCGATTTTTTCGGAAACAGTTTTCTGCAATAACTTTTGACCCAAGCCTTGTACGAGCTTACTTTCAACGGCATCGTGTTCCTCTCGTCAAGGTGCATCGAATGAACTATAACTTGACCTTGAAAGGTCATTTTGAAAATTTGACCTCAGGTCAAGGTCATGACCTGACCGGAAAGGGTCATGTTGCATATCAGTCGATCCGTATCGTCGAGCTGAACACATCTAAGGCGTTTTCATCGCTCTAGCATGCCTCTATCAAAAGTTATTTGCGAAAAACTGTTAGATACCATTCGTGACCTAAGATGACCTCAGGGCATAAACAAGGGTCACGGACACCATTTTCATGTTAAGTGTGTCTAAAGCACTTGTAATTCGGTGTTTGGGAGTGTTTTTAATGTGTTTCGTCCAAAAGAGGCACATTTCAATTTTCTCCCATTGACTTATAATGGGGAGGTCGCAAAATTGACCTGACCTTAGGTCACCGATATCAAAATTCTGAGATATACATTTTGTACATGCTATTGCTCTTAGCACTCGCTGAAAGTTTCAAAGCGATCGGTCACTCGGTGTAGCTATGACAGACATTGAAACTTTTTATGAGGTGAGGTCACTTCAAGTGACCTGGTGACCTGACCTTGAATGACCTTGGTCTGAAATTTTCACAACATGTGTAGAATTAATGTATGATAAGGTGTACCAAAAACGGCGGCGCTCCGCGCCGCGGTTTTTGAGATATTCGAGAAAAACCACAAGGGGGGTGTTCAAACACTCCCCCCCAGCAGGGCGCGGGTTAAAAACATAATAGAACAAAGGCAGGCACTTTACTATTTGTAATGCAGTTTTTTTTCTTGGCGTAGAGTTCCTCTACCCCTGACCTCTCTATGTTGTTTCGCTCGGTCGACCAGCCGGTATGGACGACTGTCCCGTGGATCGGACCAGGAGGAACTGGTGTCCCTCCTGCCGGTTCACCAAGTGCCTCAGCGCCAACATGAACCCCACAGGTGAGCGGTCATCGAGACTCACAACTGCAAATGCCGAAGAAGTCATATAACTCGCTAATAAATACATTACTGACTACCGAAGTACCGAAAGTCATCCAGCAATTGTCACATTTTCATCCAAGTTCTGACCCGATACGACTCAACCAAATAAGAACAAAGCGTCCTTGCTGAGTGCTGTTAGCCATACCAGCTCACACTCGATCCCCTAACTTTCCTCATAGCCAGCTCAGAACTCAGACCCGCCATCCATTACCGACTCTCCATGACTGAAATTCCCGGCGTGTTTCAGCCGTTCAGGAGGAGCGCGGCCCGCGGCGGTGCCGGGCCCGGCCGCGGCCGTCGAGCTCCCGTCGTCCGCCGGTCGCCGCCCCGTCCCCACCGCCCCCACCGCGAGCTCCCCATCCTCCCCACGTTCCGCCGTCTGCGGCGGCGGCGGCGGCGGTGCCGGAGGCGGTCCACCTGTTGTCGCTGTTCCCGGCCAGCGACCAGCAGCTGCTGCTGTCCGGCTGCGCCCGGCTGCTGCTGCTGCTGCGGCTGGCTGCCGGAGCGGAGGGCAGCGGCCGGCTGACGCAGCTGGCGGCTGCCGTGCAGCAGCTGCGGCTGGATCAGACGGAGAGCAGGCTGCTCGAGCTGCTGGCCGTGTTTGACGCAGGTAGGTCTGACCGAAAACAATTAAAGTAGGTACGGATGCATGTAAAGAGTTTGTCTTCTTTGTTGGATGCTTTTCGTGTGGACTCGGAAGAAATGAATTGAAAACGAGCCGCAGGATGTAAATTCGCCTCGATTGCGATTATTTTTCTTCCATTTGCAGCTTTCTGCCGGAACAAAAGGTTTAAAGGTAGTGTGCCAGCTTTCTTGGACCGTATGGAGTTAATGGCCCAGATAAGGAGAACCGGATTTTTAGAACTTATCCATACCTTCAAAACTCATGGAAACGTCTTAAATTCTTCAAATTTTGAGTACCCCAGTGCGAAATTCGCCCCGACGGGTTGTCGGTCGTACCCCAACCACATTTCACACCACTATGAACAATAAATGCACACACTGAAATCGCTATTACCGATATGCTCATCCAATCAAGTTTCGATAAACCCGTTCATCATCATCTCCTGCGGTTTCGAACACGCCTGTTAGGTGGCTTCTGATGCTCGTCGAGGTCGGAATTTCCAAATACGCGTGGTGCGTCGGGCCGCGCGCTCTGACTTCGGCCAAGAAAAATGCGTCAGCTGATCATTGTCAGTTCTGCCACTTGCGTGTGGTGAAATGGGGTCATAACTTATAAGACGGCTTTTTCATATCAATTATTTTACATAAAATCATATTTCAAACCATAAATAATGTTCGACAGCCAAATAAAAGAAACAATACCAATACGGGCTTACAGTTTAAGGCTCGACATTGTGTTGTCTACGATTAGACAGCTGATAACTCATTCCCGTACGTCGTATGGTCGTAACACTATAATGACCTTTGCTTATTGTCACAAGTGCGCCGCATTCGCGATTGTTGCCCGACGCCTGTTTGCAGGTGAGCCCACTACAGTTGTTATACATATCTAAAAACCGAAAAACTTTTAGGCGAAAAAGGCACTATTCCAGGCCCATTTTTGATTTTTTTTTGCGATATTAGGTAAAAACAGAAGCTTCTTATCCTAGGAAAAATAAAATGGGAAATCTTTCAAAGGTGGCACACTACCTTTAAACAAGTTCCTATAGCGTGCGGCCGATGAGATATAGATGCGTGAAAGGGTGCTCAATGACTAGCCGAGATTATCTAGAATTATTTAAAACAAAGTCAACCTCAACCGGTGTCTTGGCAGAGCTTTGATCGCGTCCTGTTATTTCTCCAGCTAACGAATGTCGATATTTTTCTTTACACCGTCAATTCAATTATGATGTATTTTCCACTAAATTCAGTTTTCAATTCATGACTTTGTTTGCGCCCTGCTCCAGGCCTGTCTCCGCTCCTGCTGCGAGGTCAGCTCGTCGTCTACATCCAGTCGCACCTCCAGGAGCTGCTGTCCTCCCACCTGGCCGTCAACTGCCGCCAGCAGCCCCGTCTGCGACAGCACCAGCTGCTACAGCTGCTAGCCCTCTGCCGGGCTATTCAGCAAATAGAGCTTCAGAGTGCAGCTACCGCCGCCCGGCCGGCGCTGCCTACCACGAACTCTGACCGAGGCTGGCTTCAGTTTCTGCCTGGAGCATGGCCGGTCTCTCTGTTGTAGCTCAGGTGACCCAGGAGGTCAGCCCAGTTTGGGTCAGGTCACTGGACTCGGGACTGGGTCAGAACACTGGATTGAACCTCGCAGTCGAGCTGCCCACAGCAGACCTCCGGAACATGTGGGCAAGACAATCCGCCTAAGATGGGAGGTATAGCCAGGACGTAGGCTTGGATATGTTACCGTTGAATAAGTCTCATCAGGGCCATGCATTGTTCATCACACACGCCCGAACCAAATTAACCATACGGGTTTCATGTACAATCACGCATGTGAAAACTGCCGAGAGCCAGCCTGTCATATACGAACATCATGTCTGCGAAAAAGAGATGAAGACAGTGAGGCTATTTCGTGGATGTCGCAACAGATTGGTGTTGCACGACTTGTATCAGTTTCTACTGCACTATATGTGTAAAAAATAAAATAAATCCTATGAAATTGCATGTTGTTTCGATATTAACTTCTAAATGGAATTGGTACGTTCCATGCATCAAAGCTAAATCGAATGTTTACCAGCACGGGCCAGCAAAAGCCACCAGCTGTTCTTATTAAAAGTCCGTAAGCCCGTCACAATCGCCACTGAAACACGATAGCGTACTCTTCCAAGAAACAACCTTTTCGCTCTACTCATTTTACAGCAAATTAACTCCCGAATGTCCCCAATCCATTGTCATCATCGCTCTCATTCTGTCATTTTCTCCTTGCCACGAAGCTTCAAACTAGACATTAACCACAAAATATAAAACATTTATTTGCCCAGCTTCGGGTCATTATCTTCAGCGATAAATACACATAAATATAAATTCAAGTAAGTACAAAACGGGGCGATCTCGTGTAATTAATGCCGAAGATGCCCGAGCTGAAATAGATCGGCACCGTCAGGCCGAACAGGAAAATGTGAAAGACGGTGGCCACACTGAACTTTCCGGACCGGAAAAGGTCATGTCACGCGACCAAGGACACTCGAAACTGCTGCCATCTATCAGGGAGGAGAATAGCGTCAACAAAATGGCAGCCAATACCCAAACCTCAATTGCAGATCGCAATAATATTCACATCATTCACACTATTATGTATACCTCTTGGAAATAATCGTAGCAAAATGTCCCACACGTCGAGTTATTTAAAGCATGCCTGTTACATCCAATAGCTCGCGAAGGAAAATCCTAGAGTGACACCAAGCTAATATCTAAGCGCGGCCCCAATTAGAGCGTCAGGAATGTCAGTAAATCAGGCCGGCGGCCGGAAGACAGCGCAAATCTGGCAGCTCCACGGCAAGCCGGTATCCACAGTCTGTCTGTTTGTACCATTGCCTGTGGTAACACGAGTCAATGCTAAAATCCCTCACAGCTAGCTGGGCCGGATCGGATCGTACAAAATTCCAGTTACAATAGCGATGCGGATACAGTATTATAGACAACCTCGCCGAAGCATTATCTGACCCGAGCGCAAGGCACCTCATCCATGGAGCATAAAATAAGGCACAAGAACATACAGCCGCCCGAAGTACGGTAATCGCACGCAGAGTGAGCTCATACTATGCACTGACAAAATAGAAATCTCTCGTCGGGCATGGCATCCTTAAGACCCACGTGACCGAGCCTGCAGGAGTTCAGTAGGAAGCACGCCATATCACGTGACAGCCCCACTACATAGGGCGTTCACCCAGGAATGTGTTGGCGAACACCACCTCTCATCCCTTTCACGGGCCTCACGAAGTCAATATGCTACAACAGCCCAGGAGGAATAAGTTGTGTCCGCACAATGTGGCACAATCGTGCCTCAGGGGGCGCAAAAACTGCACAACAGTCACAAAATTCATTGTGACCTTTGCCACCATTTGATTGAATGCATACAACCTTTGCCACCATTTGATTGAATGCATACAGCAGCTACCGTCGATCGAATAAAACCGGCGACGTGAGCACCGAATGCCCAGCTGCCCCTCATTTTTCCCTAGGAAGGCAGTTCAGTCTCGAGTGATAAAAACAGCAGCCACTTCACTACTTGAGCTGGATAACTAGCTGCGTCATGCTTTTGCGGCGCCTCAGCTGTGCCACAGAGTTCTCAAATGCCTCTCACCAGCCAGGTGTCATCATTCCACGATCAAGTAACTTCTTTACACATCACGCTCGCCCCACCAACACAGGAGGCCATCCGTCTGAGTCCAAGTGCAACATCAACGAACAACTTCCTCTCCGTGTTCAGCTGCTTCTGCGGGCAGATGAAGCTGGCTGCAGTCCAGCCCACTGTTGGGGCTCAGACCACGGCGTCCCTCAATCTTCAGGGATGGATCGAGGGCAACAGCAGTCGTCAACAGTGGAATAGAGACGCTGATCAAACGTGAACAACGGAAGAGGGCGCTACTCCGAGCCCCAGCGACCGTCAAGGGTTCAAGCGACCACCCAGGATACTTCAGTCTTCAGCGACCAGTCAGAGACCCAGTGATCGACTCTACAATCAATTCAGTCTCAAAGCGTCCAACAAGAGCGATCCTCGGCCCTCCAGATATGGCTCCAGACAGCCCTCAGCCCTCAGTCTCTCAGCAACCGAGCTCGATCCTCTTCGATCCTCCGAAGACGACCTTCAATCCCTCCCCAGCAGACCGTAAACATTCCTCGGTCACAGTGCCTGGCGTCAGAGTGTAGCCAGCTGCGGCATGCTGTGCAGATTGCCCACCGAGTTGACGCCCAGGCTGATGGTGTCGGCGCGTGGTCGGCTGTTCTGGTGGGCCACCGCCACCGACAGACAGCGCACCCACTCCTCCGTCTTCTTACCGTCCTGAGGGAAACGGGGAGAGGCGTCATAAAATGTGGTATACAGAGGAGTTTGACAAGGTAAATCAAGAAGTCGATTGTGAATGGCTGATCAACGATACACACCGTCGCAGACAGACGCCGATGACCTATCCAGTTTAGTCACACTCAAACACAAACCACGAACAAAGAAATTGTATTAGAACACAAAATATAAGCTAAAGCTACACAAAGTCAATTATTCCTTTTTCTACAAGAATTCAGTTTAAAACAAACTCATCTAGAAACACTAGGAACTTCTGAGTGATACTGGCCAGCTTGCTCCGCCCGCTGGCAATCCTATAGACACTGGACTCTGTTCGCTGGCACTCCTGTCGTTAATCAACAGCGGACAGACCACATCTCTGATCCTTTCCCACCCCACCCTGTGCTCTGTTCACGCTTACCTTGGCTTTGAGCACGTAGGTGCGGTCGTGGGTGAAAATCTCGAACGCCTTGGGTATGTTTCGCCCGCTGCGAGAGACCTTGACCGATCGAATCTCGTGCACGCCGATCTCGTGGTTGTCCAGTCGCGGTTGCTCAGACTGCCGAACGAAACAGAAGGCAACATTTTAAAACAGATCAACTGTTTAACGCCTGCTAGGCATGGGTGACTGTTTCCACATCACACTTCTGGTCGAGGGTAGGCACAATACATAGATATGACCCCTTTTCTAAAAACGTAAGAAGCTAAATGAAAAATTTAAACCCATGTGTAGAAAAGTCGATAGCATCGTCATCCCGATATTGAATAGAGACTGGACATGTAGACCACGTATCACCCTTTCTCATAATATTTTGTCATACCATGGCTATTGGCCACTTTCAATAGATTGAGTACTCGCAACTCAACAGTGCACGCTGTGATTGAGTTCTCTACTCACGCATCTGTAGCTGAGATGAGCCCCTGACAGTGTGAAGTAGCGTGTCCGCCAGCGTTTGAAGATCTTCCAGCGTCCCTTCTTCTCCTTCAGCTGTCCCTCCATCACCGGCTGGTCCGGCTGGCGGCGCAGGTCACGAGAGGTCAGGTCACCGGGGAGGTCACAGGAGATCAGGTAGCAAGAGAAGTCAAGTCGTGGGAATCACGTTACGGGGGGTTAGGGTACAGGATGAGTAAGGTCACGGGAAAGGTCAGGTCACAGGTTATCGTTCAGAGGTCAAGTAAGGATCGGCAGATACGTGGGCATGAATTAAAAACACGGGCAGGAAAGCGTAGTTCATATGAAGTAGTTCACGTTATACGAATGATCATGCCAGAGTACGTAAGTAGCTATTTGATTTTGAAACTTCAAAGCATCATTTTTCTTTTTTTTGTAACAAAGCTCGACCACCAAAATAATATCCGCCTCGAATCGTTCATTACACTCAGGTGGATGCACTTCCCTGCCAGCCTCCCCTCCCTCACACAAAGCTCACACTGACCTTGACGAATCCCTCGGCCTTCTCGGGGTGATTGCAGAGGAAGCAGCCCCACTGCTGCTGCATCCCGTTGTACTCGAACACGTCGAAGAAGCGCGCGCTACGCAGCTCCTGCAGTAGTACGTCTGTCTCCTGAGAAGCACAGAGGAAGAGCAAGGTGTCAGTGAGGCGGATAAGAATGCCACTGAGGCAGGAATGGCGTGACACGGAGGGGGAGGGAAATAGGGTGTCAGTAAGGCAGAAAAAGAGTCAAAAGACTGGGATAGTACCTACGGCACGGAAGAGATCACAGTGTCAACGGAGCAGCTGTGGAGTAGCGCAGAGGTCATCAGTATGTCAGCGAGGCAGGACAGGGAATCAACAAGTCAGGCATAGTTATCATGTCACGGGGAGAAAGCTAAGTGTCAATGAGGCCCACCGGGATACTAACGGCAAGAATGGCGAGGTAGGGGCAGAGTTTCATCGATGTAAGGGTGTAAATCACAGTGTAAAACGGAGGTTAAGGGTGTAAAACACTAGCCGGTCATCAGCGAAACAAGGGTGTTGATAGGGTAATGTAAAGAATGTCGAGCGACAAAACAGCCTCGAAGACCCACTCATGTGAGCACCTTGCTGTCATCGAACAGCTTTAGTGAAATCCTCTGGTTCTCGTTAATTTAGGTGGAGCGCTTACCGATTCAAAAATAACTTGTATTATAATGAATCCATGATAGACGTAAAATGACGATAATAACTCAAGTTTATTGTACAAGACATGCACTCATTCTGTCTTGTACAATAAACTTGAGTTATTATCGTCATTGTATAACTTGTATTAATTAGCTCACGCCCCAGGCGTAACTCCAACGGGTCGGTCTTGTTTCCAGCCCCGAATCAGTCGGTTCAACCCCACAGTTCCAGTGCTCCGCATATTCAGTGTCAGCCATTCTCCATCAGTTCCCCCGCAGGCCCAGACAAGCGATCTCCCTCTGCGATGCCTTAAAAACTTCGATTTATTTCTTTGGTTTATTTATCAACATAACAAAACAATACAAGTCAAATCACAGCTCTTGCGAATGGCAATAATCTCAGCCATACATGAAGACGGTAAGCTCCCGCTGCTACACAATAATAACACATCACGATCAAGATAACATATTGCTCCTTCGCTGCATTGAAAGTATCCAGGCGAGATACCCACCGTTGGACACTTCAAAACACATGGTACAAAAAAC